AGCCAGCCCCCATTCCCCACTGTCCCCTCCTGCCCCCTCCTGCTGCAGAGCCGGGGCCCAGAGCCCTCGACCCACACCTGCCCCCGACTCTCCGGCCCTCTGCTCGGCCCCACCTGCCCCACACACAGAGACAGAGGCCTCTGCTGGCCCCGGCTCTGCCTGAGAGGCCCCTGGGCGCCTTCCTCTGGCCTCTGTGTGCCCCTGACCGCCTCCCCCAGCCCGACAGCCACGGCCGGGGGCCCAGTCTCACCCCCACACCCCACCCCCAGCCAGGCTGCTCCTGGAACCTGGGCTGTCTGTGTGGGAGGAGGACACCGTGGAGCCTGGGCCTCCTGGCAAAGCCCCACGCGACAAGACCAGTAAGTCCCAGGGCTGCCTCTGGGAGGGTCACAGGGGTGTCACTGGCCACCGTGCCGATCCCGCCATGTTCCCAGGGCAGGAACTGGGACGAGGAAGGCGGGCACTGGGACAGTGCCATACCCTGGCCATACCTGTCCCGCACTCGGTGTGGCAGGCCTGCAGCTCCTGTCTGTCGCCTTCACAAGGAGCACCCCCGTAAGCAGCCGGAGGGTTGGAGGGTGACCTGGGGAAAGAGGCAGCCTGGGTGCCTGCTCCCCCTCCCTGCCCCTCACTCCAGCCCTCTTCGTCTGTCCATCTATCCTGCAACTGCCACCTGTCCCCTGCAGGGCCCCAGCCCCCGGCCCTCCTGCCCAGCCTGCCCCCTCTGCCACGCCCCTCCCCCGTTCTCCTTCCCCCTCCCCTGCACACCTGAACCTGGCCCTCACTCCAGAGCCGCAGGAGCGGTCACAGGGACTCCAGGAGGACCAGGCTGACCAGCCGCAGGGCACAGGGCAGTCCCCAGGCTCACACCGCAGTGCCCCCTGCTCACACACGCTGCGGGGGGCGGGGAGAGACGAGGCCCAGGCGGTCAGGACTGGGGAGGGGGTGTGGGGAGAGGACCGTCCCCTGAGAGGAGCAGATGCCCTCACCATCGGCTGCAGTTGTCCAGAAGGAAGGGCAGCCCCGGCTGCTTCAGCTCTCCGCCCACGAGGCAGGGGCACTCGGCAAGGGGCAGGCAGTGTGCCTCATGGAGGAGCAGCTCAGGAGGGCAGCGGCACCCTGGGGGGCGGGGAGGGTGCGCTCAGCTCCAGGCTCGGGGCGGCAGGGAGGGCAGGCCGGACACCAGGGCGGGTGGGCCTGGGCTGGCGCCCCGCGTGCCCCCGAGGGCTCTGTCCCCCACACCCCTGCTTGCTGGGCGTGTCTCACCCTCCAGACAGTGCCCGCCGCAGCTGCCCTTGGCCTCGGGGTCCAGGCAGGAGGGCGGGCACGGGGGCACCAGCCCTCTCCGGCACAGCTCGGCACTCACGTGCACACGGCCCGGCCCGCAGTCTGGTGGGAGATGAGAACCGGGTGAGGTGGGCCCCAGGAGGCCCAGCAACACCCCAATGGCCTCACCCAGCTCCCCTTACCTGTACCCCCCGTGCAGGGCTGCAGGCTGCAGGGCGCCCTCTCTTGGGGGGCCCCAGGACAGGGGGCGCCTCCATTCTTGGGTGGGGGGTCCATGCACCTCCTCTGGCGACTCCGATGGCCACCCCCACAAGAGACGCTGCAGGGTCCCCAAGCCTCCCACACTGTCCAGGCCCCAGCCACTGCAGGGAAGGAAAAGGGGGTGGACCAGGGACAGCACAGGGAGAGGAAGCGGCAGAGAGGAGAGGAGCCCGGACGGCCGCCGGTGGGGAGGCCTCGGGGGCGCCCCGGGGACTCAACTGTCCCAGGAAACCTCTCCTCGGTGGGGGACCTGGGCAAAGATCTCGAGGTGCCTTCTGAGATAAAGGGTCTGGTCCCTGGGAAAGGGCTGGGACAGCGGGAATCCTGGAGCAGGGCGCCCCCTGGTGGCAGCAGCCAGAAGCTGGGTTAGGGAGCCAGAGGTGGGGGCTGAAGACATCCTGATGTTGGAGGCCCCTCTCTGCAATGCAGAGGCAGGATGGGGGACCCACAGATCAGAAAGGCCACGAGGCCTTGGACGCGGAGCCCAGGACAAGCGGCTCAGCCCGATAACACCCTCACTCGGGGCGGCGTGGGGACTGCTGCTCCAGCTGCCACTCAGGTCAAGCAGAAAGGGGGCAGGGCTGGGGGCAGGCTTCCTGACACGCCCCCTGAAGGGGCGAGGCTGTGACCTCGGGGAAGGGCTGTCCTCCCAGAGCCCCAGGGAGGAGGCCGGACACCGAGGTCCCAAACACAGCAGAGACATTTCCCCAGTGCGGGTCTCTGATGGGAACGCACCCCAGGTGTCCCACTCTGGGGGGCGCTGAGGTGGCCTGGGGAGGGGCTGGGGTGCCAGTTACCTGGGCAGGCCTGCACGAAGCAGGGCTGGCTGCGCCGCCGGTCATCTGGGCAGCTGCCCCCCACCAGGGGAGGCCGAAGCACCTCCCGGTGCTGGAAGGCGATGCCCAGGCCACAGCTGCGGCTGCAGCTGCTCCAGCCAGACCAAGGCGCCAGCCCACAGTCCACTGCAGGGGGACAAGTGTGCCAGGCTCAGAGGGGGCCCACCCGGGAGCACGAGTCTCAGGGGTGGCCCCCCGTCTGCCGGCCAGGCACGCACCACAGCCCTCCTCGTCCGAGCCATCCTCACAGTCTGGCCGCAGGTCACAGCGCCGCTCGGCGGGCAGACACTCCCCACTGCCACAGGCCAGCTGTCTCGGAGAGCAGAGAGCTCTCGAGGCCGGCAGCCCAGGCAGGGCCGTGGTGGGCACCGTGAAAGGCAGAGCACCTGCCGCCGGCGAGGGAGAGGAGAGCGTAAGTGACTCTGGCCGGATGGTAAGCCGAGCCCTTCATCCTCGGGCAGGAGCAAAACAGCTTGCTGACTGAGGCCCCGGCCTCCCCTTCCTGCGGAGGCCTCCCGTGCCCAGCGCAGGCCTCCGCCCGTGAGAGCGTGGCGTCTGGGGTCTGCACAGTCTCTCGCACAGTCTCTGCTTGCCAGAGGCTCTCAGAGTGTCCAGAGAGAGGCCAGAGAATCTAAAAGAGCGGCTCACCCCCTGGGGTGCCCCTTCCCGCGAGTGGCTAACACTCGATCTCCCTTCTTCTGAATGGAAGACTAGGCTTTGGGCACAATGATCTACTTTGGATGGATGGGTGGGTGCATGGATGGACGGACAGACGGACAGATGGATGGATGAATGGATGGATGGATGGATGGATAGGTGGATGGGTGGGTGGGTGCATGGATGGACGGACAGACAGATGGATGAAT